ACCTACACAAACTGAAAGAACTAGACTGAGGTGATTAGATGGGAACCTTTAGCATGAGTATGCTTAGACTCCCTCAAGTTTTAGTACAGTAAAAATCACTGCTAGCTACGCTTTGATCAACATGAAGAACAGGATCTAATCCAGCTTGTCATTCCAGAAGCAAATATTAACAGAGCATTGCAAGGATTACGCCTTGTACCAAAGGGAAGCTGGTCTAATGAAAGCATATAATAAACTTTATTTACCTAACTCACACTATCATGAAGTAGTGGCAAGCAGGATCACTCTAGGCAGCACTTCTCCAGCTTCAACACTAGCATAACTTTATGAAGAGCATGACAGTTGCACTGAGCAATATACTTCTGGCAAAGGAAATGGAAATGTGGTTGCAGGATATTTTCTTGGGGAGTTGCACACTGTCAGCACAAGGTATAGTGCAGAAAAGCCTGGCTTCCCCACGTTAGGAACTCCATGTGGGTGTAGTAGCCAGAGCCCTAAGTTAAGCACCTAGAATGCACCAGAGAGGCTATTCTGATTTTGATGCACCTATAGTTTAGTGAGGAACTAGCATTTCCCATTGCCTAGTTGCAAGCAGGGCCACAACCTGAAATTATACTCTTCAATGGAGTTTGAGAAGCAAGAGCTTAAGACTTCAGGAATGCCTCTCCACTGAGTTAGAAGAATGGCTTTGGACTGTGGATACTAGAAGTATCAAGTCCTTTTTTCAAAAAAGCGAATACCAATCCTATATACCTACCCGTAAAAAGTGTGACTGATCCCATCTTTTCTATTAAGGTCTAAAGGCTAGATTGCTAACCCAGGAAGGAAGAGACCTCACTTTATCCTCGTTCAGAATAAAACATGCCATTTCACCAGAATGTGTAGCAGTTGAAGGCAGTTCTGGAGTAGAAGGAAAAACCATCTTCCGTATCTCCTTTTAAAGCTTTACTGGTGGACAGCAAGTGATTTAGGATTCGCTGGAACAAGGAGGCATGACTGTGGTCTGATGGTTAGGATACTTACCTGAGAGACTCTTGGGCTGTCTTTGTGTTTTATTGGCCAGCTGTAATGCCACCATCTCTTAAAAGAAAGCTGTAACTAACATCTCTGCAGAGCTTGGTCCTGTAGGAACGAGTATGGTAGATGCCGCAAGAATGCGCTTACTAGACAAAGCTGAAGTGGAAAGCTAAGTATATCTATACGATTAGGCACCAGCATCAGACTGGCAGGAACTGAAGCCACTTTGGAACAGGCAGAGAACTGCAGGTATTAAAACATTTTTTTTTTTTAAATCAAACAGGGAGGAAAAAAAGTTAATTATGTGACTCCAGTGAGAAAACCCAATTCTCCTCTCAATAAAACCAATGCAGTTTCTGTTACTGGTGGCAACAGAAGCAGAGATGGGTCTAAAGTTTGTTGACAAGATGTAAGCATGGAAAATATTGGCACACAAGTGCTTCATATCTCAAGGAGAGCTGCAAAGAATAGAACTCTCAGAGGTATATCTGAAAGTACTCAGGCGCATTGTCAGCCAGGAAAGAGTAGGAAGCTCCTTCTACTCAATTAGTCATACTGAAACCAGGATCAGAGTAAAGAGGTCTCGAACTCTAAACAAAGCAATGGATTAGAAGCAGCTATTTATTTCTTTATAATAGCCTGAGATCGAAGCTACTATTTATGTGGTGGTAGAGCAAAAATATAAGGCTGCTGAAATACATTCTCTTTCCCTCCCTGCAAAAAGATGACAGTAGAAAAAAAAGCGTGCATGTAAAAAAGGTGCAGTATATGTTTATTTAAAATAAGTACTCATACAGAAGGACATCGATAAGACATGGAGAATTCAGTCAGATTCTTGCTCCAAGTTATCTTTCCCTCACAAAAATTAATACAAGCTGAAGATTAGACTTACTATTTGGCAAAGGAAACATCGCAAAAAGAGTATGTGTTTCCATTCGGGAGGTACTTTGTTACATGTAATTCTTGGCTTACCTCATGTTACATGACACCCATAGTTAGAATATGACTATAAAGTTGGAGCAATATTTACAGAACTTGGACCATGCTCAAATATACCATGTTTTGTAATAAAACCAAACCAAGCCTACCCACATGTAACAGGTGAACCATCTTTAGATTAACTGATTAAGGTTTCAACTGCAGAAGGAATTCTTTTGCCTTTTTCAGTGCCAGTTTCCCAGCTTATGCTTTTTATTTAATTTCGAACCATAAAATTCAGTCTATTACATGAGATAATGGCTCACAAAGATGAAGCCATCCACTTCATTTTCTCTGAAGTTATAATTTAAAAAAGTAGAGGCTGAGATAGCATTATACCGAGATCCAAGAGTCTCAGCGTTTAAATTACTACTAAAAAACTTGTAAAAGGTTCAAAAAGTGTTGTGGGTTCACCCCAGCCAGCAGTCAAGCACCCACACAGCTGCTCACTCTCTCTCCCCTCCGTCCCCAGCAGGACAGGGGAGAGAAGAGCAAAAACAAGAAAAAACTCACAGGTCAAGATAAAGGCAGTTTAATAAGTGAAGGAAAGAGGAAAAAAACAAACCACCAAGTGATGCAAAGGCAATCACTCACTACCTCCCACAGGCAGATGATGCCCAGCCAGTCTGCAAACAGCCACCTTGGAAGCCAGCCCACCCTCCCTGCCCCCACCTTCTTCCTGTACCCCATTTTTATTGCTGAGCATGACATTATCTGATATGGAATAGCCCTTTGGCCAGTTCAGGTTGGATGTCCCAGCTGTATCCTTCCCAAACTCTTGCCCACTCCAGCCTACTTGCTATGGGGGCAGAGCAGAAAAAAGAAAAAGCCTTGACCCTGTGCAAGCACTGCTCAGCAACAGCCAAAACATTGGTGTGTTATCAACACTGATTTAGTCACAAATCTGAAACACAGCACCATGGGATGCTGTGAAGAAAGTTAACTCCATCTCAACCAGACCCAGTACAGTAAGAAACCCTAAGAATTCAGCTATTAATCTGCATGACATATCACATCATAGCTCACTATCTGGAAGCCCAAAATCAAAAGCAAGTAATCTACTGTAAAATGCTTTCAGCATATGAAACAGTGTGCCAAATTTATCAAACCTGAAAGCAGTCCACTACAGTCAATACTATTCTTAACATTTGCAGTAGTGGCTTTGACCAGTGTATTTATAAAAGAAGTAAGCAGTAAGGCCTTCCCCAAACATACAACTTTGTATGTGAGCTTGTGAGACTTGTGTCCATGTTATTAAAATTGATCTGTTTTCCTCCTACAGTTTGGATATTGTTATATACTGTTTACTCCCAGCAGGTTGTAAGCAGTATTGTACAGTAGATATGCATAAATAGAATCATAAATAAAAAAGCTAACAAGGTGCTCAGAAAGGCAGCTCAATGACTTTGCCACTGCGCATGAGAACTCGTTATTAGTTTATGATGCTTGCTTATTCTAGTTCCAGGGGGGAAAAAAAAAAAAAATTAAATATACAACATCAGAAGCTGCAGTTTCCATGCATCTCTTCTCCTGCCCTTAAGTAAATATCCTGGGACAGGAGAGCAGAAGTGATGGTCTGTGGAAGTCAGCAGTGTCTCCTCACAGAACCTGAGAGGTCCTCGGTGTTTGTAGGAATGACTGTTCATTAGACCCAAAATATGTCAAACAAGGCCACCGCGAAAGACTAGTTTTTATTCATCTAGCATGAAACTCACTTCTGTTAAGGGTAAAGGTGTTGAGCACCACAGGTGTTTAACCCACTGAAAGCCTTCAGGAGTTGAAAGCGTAAACAGCGCATAGCTTTCTGGCACTTTCAGATGTTTAAAGGCAAATGTAGTCCCTTATTACCTCTTCAGGAAACTACTCCTCACCTCCAGAACATAATACGGGAGAGCCAGTAAGAAGGTCTCCATCAATAAAACAAAAAAGGCCACTGCAGACTAAGACTGCCCACAAAAATTAACCTGTAGCACAGAAGTATTTAGCAATTCAGTTTTACAAGTAAAGGCCACCCCTGCAGAGCGGTAAAGCTCTGCCAGTGCAGGTCAGTACTCACAGCTCTGCATTCCAGGAGCAGGAGCTGCTTTGGGGCTCCATTCCAGGAGCAGGAGTCGCTTCGGGGCTCCATCCCAGGGGAAAATGCCCTCCCAGCAACTCAGGTGCTTCTCTCAATGCAGCAAGAGCTTTCTAGGAAAGACTGGGCTCACTTATAGTCAGATTTGAACATGAACTAAGCAAGGTTATCTGCCTGGGGTTTTAAAAGTAGCATTGCTCACTGAAGAGATCTGTCATGAATTTGAGAGGCTAAGGCACAACGGGAGAGAGCGATCAAGGCCATGATTTTCCACGTCCAACTTAACACAAACAAAGAAGGCTCCACTTCCAAGTGAGCTGAAGCCACTTTAAGGCATATGGGGGGCATATGATAACACTGATAACAGCAGCTGTCAAATCTAAACATGACTAGAGATTTCTTTCTCTAATACATGCAGGTGACCCAAGTTTGGGTTTGGTGAACTAAAAAAAACCCATAGCTTTGAGGTACTAGAACTTTTACAGCTTCTGCACAGCTCTGTCGCTTGCCACGGGCCTCAATGCAGGTGTGCCAGAACCACCAGAATCACTCAGGCTCTGCCCTGGGTAGACGTTTCTTGGGTAGGCTTCGCTCCCTTGAAAAGGAGCGGCAGCAAGAGCAGCAGGCCTAGCTCCCCTTTCCTCTCTCCTGCCTTCCCTGCAGCAGGTCAGGCTAGCAGCAAACCTGGATATTCTCTATTCCACAATGCTACACAGCAAGCAGGCTCACTTCTAAATATATCCAAATAGAAGTTTCTAGACTGCAAAATAAATACAGTTCTTACAGTAAGTTATGCAGAAAAATGTCGGTTATACCTAATATTTCATGGTAAATGTAGTGTTATTTAAATTTTTTCCTTGTCCTCAGAGTAGCAGATACTAGAGGCCTATTTGAATAAAATTAAGACTTCCACAGAAAGTAAGAAAAAAGTTTACTTTCTGGGTTTTTTACTCCCTGTCATAACAAAATAGTGATCATCTTGCCTGCTCTTCACAAGAGGACCTTTTGATACACCTGGCGTTCCTTTGTTACACGCCGTTGCTGATTTTCCCTTAGGGAGAGGCTTCTTGGCTGCTGGGACCAAGCTTTCATTTGCTTGCAAGTTTTTGGTTGAAGGCTGAGCTTTTGTGGAAGGCTGCGCTGGCTTTTTGGTCACTGCTGCTTTGGCTGAAGTTTGAGGAAGCCGCACAACAGATAAGGGAGTGCGTTCAGGAGGTTTGGATGAAGTAGGTCCAAGCTGAGGGGGTTTACTGACATTTGGCTGCTTATTGACAGCTGATGATACGTTTTTGCTTGTAGATACCAGTGTAGGTGGTGACTTTGATGCTTTGCTAACTGCAAGGGAAGGTGCAGAAGCAGAGTGTTTTAGGACTGAAGTAGTTTTCAGGTTCCTCGCCAGGTCAGAAGCTGTTTGTGGAGCTTTCTGAGGATGCTGAGACCCAGTTCCTGAGGTCTGAATAGTATTTTCAGAAGGAGGTTTTGCAAGGAGCTGCTGAGAATGTGCAAACTTGGCAACAGCACGCAGATTTGTAACAGGTGGCCGGGCAGCCCTTGGAGCAACTGAATTAGCTTTGTTTTTTGTGACAGATACAGGTTTGCATTTAGCGGCAACATGCTTCTGTTTTGAAGCCATTGTTTCAGCTGTCCCAGGCAAGCGAGAAGGCTGTTTTTTAGAGGACGAGAGGGCAGGATGCAGTGCTGGTGCCAGGGAGCTCTGAGCCAGGGCAATTTTCACCTTGGCAGCATCGGGGGACCGAATACGTTTGCGCAATGTTTCAGAGTGAACAAGAGCCGTTCTCATTCCTGCAGATGAAGAGCTTTTGCCTACAGGCTGCGAAGGAGCAGAAGCTGATGAGTTGCGTGCAGGAGACTCCAGTTTCTTTGAGGTGCCAGCTAATGGTTTGAAAGGAGACTGCACGCCTGTCACCGAAGACCCTTGTAATTTGGACCTGACTGTCAATGACTTGGCTGTGGAGGATGGGGGCACTGGCACTTTTGGTGATGCCAGGGCAGGGGACTGAGGACATTTAGATAAAGCCTTCTTAAGAGCTGAAACAGGAATAGGGGGTTTTGATGGCTGCTTTTGAAACATATTGACAGCTGACATTGGATTCATGACAGGAGGCTCCTGAATTCTAGCTGACGAGTTGGGGACACTATCACTGGTGACCCCTTTCTGAAACGCCAGGATTTTTTGTTCCAGAGTTGCAAACTGAAGCACTCGGCATGGATCATATTTAAGCAGAAAACCTTGAAGAGTGTCCCAGCCTCCACCAACACGTACCATCACATGTTTGCCATGTAGCATCTGGGGGAAGAGGGGGTGGGAGCAGAGAAGAACAAGAGAAACTTCTATCTTGTTTTATGCAGCATTATGTCTTCATCTTACATTGAAATCTATTGAAATCAACTAAAAATAGGACCTCCTTTCTCACAGAGAAACATTTGAAAAGAGAAGTTATATTATAAATAAGGCTTATACTTCCCAATTCTTTTATTAGATACTTTCTCCTGTAGAGACAGTCATTACGTATCAGGAAATAATGAAAGCATATATACAGAAGGCATTTTAACCATTCTGTCAGCATCTTTATTTAGTATACAGAGTTTTGGATACAGGTTTTGTTCAAATTATGGATGTCCTCGTAACATTTTAATCCCAGAAACTCTTATGCCTCCTGAAGACAGCACTCAACTATCCTACAAATTATAAACCCCAAGCATTCAGATTTTGAACAAGCAACATTCTCAGGATATTCTATTGCATTACCCTTATTTATATTGCAAGTTGCTACTGAAATTTTAGAAACACCACAGAAAAACATTAAACTTGCTTAGTTTAGTGTGGTTGTAAAATCAATAGTTGTAAGTTCTAATTAGCTACACCTACTTTGAATAGTAGCTCAGATGACGTGGTGTCCCAACCTAAATCATTCTGTAATTCTAAAACAATACCATAAAAATAAGGTATTCCACTTAAAAGCATTCCTCTCCCTATTATGAATGTAAGTGGGAATTCTGAGGAATTACTTACTCGTATGAAGAGTATTTTATCTCCCAGTCTATAACGTCCCTCCGATAAGTATTCAATTGAAAATCGATGGGAACAACTGCAGGGAGGATCTTCTGCTATATGTTTAACCTAGTTATTAAAATTGAAAGCCTTCGTTAGTATTTTGACAGAAGTATGTGTCTAACAGTTTATTGAGATATTTAATACAAGAAGAGATACTGATATCTTCATCTCAATCTAAGAAAACACTAGAATTCTATTCCCTCACAAGAAAATCTCAGCCACATAGAGCTTCAAAATGTAGAGTAAAAGAAAGAACAAACTGTATGTACAGACAAATATTTCTAGTTGTTCCAATCCAATTGTCATTATTTCTTCAATTTTAAGTTATTTCTACTTTCCTTTTTAAGATTTGTCTGTAACACTAACATAGTAGCATCAAATTCCAACCACGATCTTGTAAAGACACTGTTATGGTCTCTAGTAATGGAAAAAAGTGCCTGGGTCTCCCCTGTGACCGAATACATTGCTACACCTGACCCGGGGCTACTTCAGCATTCTCCTTAACTTTTTGTAAGGCTTTTATAAGTTAATCTTCTATGTGACACCCAAGAAGGAAACCACTGAAAAAAGGAGAAAGGTAGTCCCCAAATAAGTCCAGGCTTAGAGAAGATGTGCCTCTTACAGCCACTTAGAAATTTGACAAATTGGAAGGACTATTGCCAAGCAGGAAAAATCGTGAGACTTTTCAGAGAGAGCGAGGATCTGGTGGCTGACATTCCCAAAGAAGCAGAAGTTTTACATTACAACACAGAGGATGTTTAAAATAAATTAATTTTAAAGTCTCAACATGCATTTTTAAGCAAAATAGGAAAGTTGTTCATCATTCCTTTTGGACCAATTCATAAGATGTACAAATCACTTCCTTTTCTGCATACATATTCATTTCCAATTGGTACAGCTACAGAAGTATTAAAGTCTTTTTCAAAAGAGTTTCAAAGCCTTTTTGATGGTTTTATGAAAACATCAAATTGAAGAGAAGCATACATTACAGTCACAGAATACTGACAAACCAGAAAAACTGAATGAGAGTACTTCTTATACTCAAAGAAGCAATGAAGGGGGGGTGGAAATCAAGGCAAGTTATATGCACTGATGCATTAACTCCAAAATATATATGACAGCATTTTGCTTACTTATTTTTTCAAAAAAAATAGTTGTTCAAAAGAGGTGCATACCCTTCTGTTTTCTGTTTAAGGAGGCTCACAATTATTAGATGAAAAACAGCCTACGTTTACCGAGCCAGATCATACTACAAGTACTAAACTTAGTTTTAAAGCCCGTATCACAATGAATAGGTAGTACTTACTGCCTCATGTAGCTCCCCATGGTGACAACATGACTTTGCTGTGCTAATAGGTGATGGTGGTCCAGAGGTCATCAGCAGTGTTTCTTCTAGCTCAATTTCCTTCTCTAGTTTTACTAGTACAGGAGGTTCAACTCCATACCTCAACACAAATACAAAAGTAGAGAGTTTAATTGCTAACAAAATCAAAAAGAAACTGATGATAATAAACATGCAAAATTCTGAGTAGATGGCTGACAGGGAACAGCACTACATCAGAGGAGTAACTGTCTTGATAATGCAAAGAGAAGGAGCACCTCCTGAGTTTCTAGTAGAAGTCCTCCCAAAGGTGGTCTTGGAGCTACCAGAGAAGGCAGTAAAAATACTATCAAAACTACACAATTTAGGTCTGTCGTGGTTTAATTTCAGTCGGCAACTAAGCACCACGCAGCCGCTCGCTCACTCCCCCGGACCCGGTGGGATGGGGGAGAGAATTGGAAGAGCACAAGTTAGAAAAAGTCGTGGGTTGAGATAAAAACAGTTTAATAATTGAAATAAAATGATAATAATAATAATATAATAATAATAATACACAAAGCAAGTGATGCACAGTGCAATTGCTCACCACCCGCCAACCGATGCCCGCCAGTCCCCGAGCAGCGGCCCCCCCGGCCAGCTTTCCCCAGTTTATGTACTGAGCATGACGTCACATGGTATGGAATGTCCCTTGGGCCAGTTTGGGTCAGCTGTCCTGGCTGTGCCCCCTCCCCGCTTCTTGTGCACCTCCAGCCTTCTTAGTCGGTAGAGCATGGGAAGCTGAAAAGTCCTTGGCTAGTGTAAGCATTACCTAGCAACAACTAAAACATCGGTGCGTTATCAACTTTGTTCTCATCCTAAATCCAAAACACCGTACCAGCTACTAGAAAGGAAATTAACTCTGTCCCTGCCGAAACCAGGACAATATCACATCCAATTTAGATAAACTATCTTAAAGCTTCCAGCTCTGCACTAGAAATAAATTAGAAGTCTAAATTTAGAGAATGATAAAGACATACCTTCCAAAAAGCTTAAAAAATAAAGACCTTAAAACTGTATTTAATGTTCAGTGAGTTCTTCCAAGATGTACACATACCTATAAGCTGAATGTAGTATTTAAACATACAGCTATAAAAAACAGTGTGGATCAGCACTTCTCCATGAAGAGAGTCTGATAAATATTTGAAAAAATACTCATATTGTACGGTGGTCCTAGAAAAGCTACTCATTACTTTCTGCACAGAATTAACACCTACTGCACTGCATTTAATGACCACAGATTGTCTTGACTTTGTCTTAGCTTTTACTTAATAGAGTATGTTCTTCAATTTCTTGTTAAGAGCATGTATGGATCACATACCTGGATACAATGCGTCCAATTTCCAACAAACAAAGATACACTTGTCTTGGATCCTTGTGCAAAACTAAAAGGGAAGAGAATAAAAGGGAGTTACAGCTCATATTTACTGTGGGGAGGCCTGTGCAATTAGGTACAGAGAAGGGAAGATAAGGAATAGATGACTATAACTTTGCCATCATTCTACCCAGAAGCAAGCTACGTTATCATGGATAAAACACTACATGCTTTCCAACTCTAATTTTCTATTCCATAAAGTGTTTAAAACCATCCTGGCACTCCTGAAATCAAACTCTTCTCCACCTCCTAAGAGAAATACGCTTTATTTGATTTTATGCTGTTATTTCTTAATGTGAACTGGAAAGAAAGGTCTGAGAGCTTTTCCTTCCCTATTCCCAAATATATTATAGCAGTCTTAAAGATGAAAAGCATTCAACAACTGCAAATAGGAAGATATACTCCACCTGTTCATGCTTGTGCATCCAGACACAGATAGGCACACACACTCTATAGGTGAACAACCGTAGGAGAATACGCTGCAAGGAATCTAGCTGACAAGTGGATGGCTATGCAGCCAGTCAGCCCAAGTGGTTTAAACCCCTTGGCTGTGAAAGAATAATCTGACGGATTGTTACCATATCAGTGAGCAACAGATCCTTTTTCTTATCACTTTGAAAGTTCTGGGTGCCAGCAGGGTCCATCCATATGGCAGATTCACCCAATTGCACTAGAAGATACCACTTTGCCAGTGGCAGCTCCCCTACCCCATGCTATACCCTCAGTTCACCCCTCCCTATCAGCCCCCCCCCACCATCCACCCAAAGGTTTTCTTCAGAATTTGGTATCCTTGCAAGGATCTATCTGAGAAAGAGGGTCAAAACCCCTGACCATAAGAAGGAGGCGAGAATGACATTGGTTTAAGAGGCAAACACTCAGATGCAAACATCAGATACTGGCTGTGATCACAGGAGAGATGCAACACTATTTCAGATATGTTAGTAGCACAGAGTTTTGCACCAGGCTTTGCTTCTCAAGGACTGTGCCCACATTAACCCAGCTAGTGCTCAACGCAGAGGCTGCTTTGCGCCCTTCAGTTCAGAGCAGCTCTAACAGCTGCATGCACTCGACTGTGTAAACACACTAAATAATGATCAGGAGAGCTGAAGAATGAGATGGAAGAGTGGAGTGATAGCCAAATGGTGTAGGTGACCATGGCGGTTCTTCTGGGTTTTCTTGACAACTTTGAAAAGAAAACACTCAATTATTTTTTACTGCTGCACTGAAGAATAGAAGAGGCAGAAGAAAAGCAATGTCTGTTTTGGTTTCTTGCAACTTCCATCTTTAGGTGTGCAAGAAAAAGGAAAAAAAAACAAGGGCCATGAACAGAGAAGGAAAATAGTTTAAAAATTTCACACACAAGTTACTTCCTCCCCTGCCCCTATTTAAGCCTCAAAATTGAGATGCTCTCAAAATGTTCTAAGAACACAGTTGTATGAATGCTCTAGAAAACAAACCATCCCTGTACTTTCTTAGCCAACTAGGTATGCAGCCTAATAACATAGAAACCAAAGGCTGGAAGAAAGGTCATTCAACTCCCCTCCACCCACACACATGGCACCATTCTTTCCCCCCCTCCATCAAGTATAAGAAATGTGAAAAGCTGTAGATACAATTTTCATATGGTGTAACATTTATATAAACAAGTCTGACTTTCTTCAGACTGTGCAGAAATATTTGGTAGAAACTGGAAATTCACTCTGAAGAGAAGCGTAATGAGCCAGCTCTATATTTACAGATCTTTCTGATGTTCAATTTGATATTTAAAATGACTTTGCTGTAAATAAGACTAAAGTGTTTCCTAAAGTATAAGATGAGTATGAAGTCAGATGTTCTTGTTTACATCATCTACTCCAGTTTGTAAGTCTACTTTTTAAAAGATCTGATTATGAAGGGTAAATCAAGAAAGTTGGCATAGCCATAACCTAAAAGGTGCTAGAGGTCATTTCATTCCCCCCCCCCCCAAGTGTTTTTGTCAGCTGTAACAGCAGAGGCATAATTTGCCTGAATCCAGAAGAGAAAAATCCCTAGCAGAGATCAAGACATTTGGCTTGATGTCAAAGGACATTCCATGATGGCTACTCTCCCTTTCTGCTGTCTCAGGAGCCACTTAATTTATTTCTTTCACAGCCATCCACACTTTTCAGGAGGTGTTGCTATATGTATCTGATGGGAAAAGGACAATTGTCAAATTGTCTTTCCCCTATTTCATTCATAAAGAATGGCTTGAGAGTTTGATGGAGAACATCAGTGGAAAGAATGTTTCATGAAGGAGGCTGCAAGTCTGCTCATTTCAACTGCCAAAAAGACTCACAGAAGATATTTATGCCACAAAGCAAGCTTGTGTCAAGAGTTACAATCAGACTTCAAAACACTTCTTGGCTATGAGCGAAAGCCACAGCATTAGGAAATCCTGTCTGCTTATCTCAGGGAGGCTAAACAGGTTCTAGTTACCCATCCACTTACAGGAACGAAGATGTTTAAGCAATGAAATTCATACAAGTTGAACTGAAAAAATATTAACACTAATTTTCTTATAGCTCAGTTCTCCTACTTATCTGTATTTCATGGCACTGAAGAAAAGATACACTCCCTAGTTAAATCAGAATGAGACAGATGCAAATGAGGATATTTTCTCAACTATTTTAAAAGATGACTTATCCAGTAGAGAAGGCATAGGCAATCCAACTAGCAAGGAGGAGAGCTTAAAAGAAAAGCAGCTAATGAAAACAGTGCCTCCCATTTAAATAGCATTAAACTGCACAAAGGCTTCAAGAAAATCTAGTAAATATTGTGACAAATTCATTTGATTAATGAAAACAAAGGTACCTTACAATTTTTTGCTATTCTGCTTGACAGGCAGATATTTTGCCTTTTTAAAAAAAAAAAACCAAAACCAACTAACCAAATCAAAACCAAAAAAACCAGTATTTGGCTTGCCACAGACAGGTTTGTATTAATTATTTTTTACTGACATAATAGCTGGTAGAAGAGCATTTCATTATTTACCATGTGATGAAAGCACAGTTCCTCTTAATTAACAGTCAAAAAAATTTTATCCCATCTGGAAGTACCAGTCCAGAAGCTGTTTAAGGGACAGACTGTGCACTGGGGCAGGCATACACAGAGTTGGCAATATTTATTTTTATAACTATCTTATTAAATGGGAAAATACAAATGGTTTCACATCATGTCAGGCAGGTCCTGAAGTAAATGTTAATTACCAACAGACTGATGTCACTTCAGGCACAACGGCCTGATGTAGTTACCAAATTTAGCAGTCATGAATGCATTATTCTGAGGGCTTTCTGCAACAAGAATGAGCTCTAATACCAAATAAAGGATCTTATTGTGAGTTGACTCCATGGCCCTGTGGTCTTCCCGCACAGGGAAAGCGAAACCACGCTTTTCTCCTCTGTTTCTCAGTGGGCCTTTTTCCTGAAGGAAAACATGCGAGTTTGCTGCACAGCTGTCACTCCTCCCTTCCTTCCACACGGGAACTTTTAGAAGGTTGGAAAAGCATCATGCAAGTTAGAGCAGCCACTGAACTGATTTTTCAAAGCTTTTACGTGAACACTGCCTTAAAAAAAATAAAAGCATTAATACAAGACAGGTAGAGTTGTGACAAAGGCTTCACAAGACTAAATACAAGAGACCTCCCTGACCAGGTAGTTATCCACATACAGATCAAAGCGAGCCTTACAAAAAGATAGATTTACCTAAACCTTCAGATTCAAAGAGATAAGTCTCATCAACTCCAATGGCCCTACACCAGTTAAGAAAGTTGGCTGTATTATCTCTGGCAAAAAAAGATCCTGATGGAGCATCCTTCTTACATGGAACTTTTCTCATAGGAAAATTCTGGCAAGGGAAGAAAACAAAAAGTACATTGTGCACATCAACATTGCCAACAGATTTCAAAGCATATTTGCAAAGGAAAACAAACTCTAAATTCAGAGTACAGAAACAGTGGTTAGTAACTACTTTCCATTCAACCCACCATGTATTCTATTAAAAAAAACTACACTAATGTGGAAGGCATTCCACCTCACCTTTGTGAACAGACACTGAGTCCTTAGCTCTGCAACCTCTCCTGGAACTGCCCATACAGTTGCTTCCCCATTTCCCCACATGCTGGGGTAAAAGTCTTACTGGTGGTTTCACAGGTCTAGATAATTATTCCCCCTTCCCAAGCTCTGTTCATAGCAGCAGAATGAACAGAGAGAACCCCAAATCAACTAAACTATACTTAGCTGCCAGATTTCAACATTTTAGAGCCCATTCTAGGAAGCAGAGGGAATCAAAAGGGAGCAAAGGACATTTTCTTTTAAAACAATTCAGTACTTATTGTTTTTAAATTGGTGTCTTCAAAACTAAACAAACAGTTCAAAAGGTACACAAGTTGGACATCTTGTCCTCCTTAAAAAAACCCTAAGGATTTGCAGCATTCATATGGCTCTTCTATAAATACCATTTGGCATCCTAAGACTGCTGTCTTGTGTCCCCCCCCCCAATTAATAATAATTCTAATATTAGTAATTGTATTTCTTACTGGTAAACATCCATTATTTAAAACTACTGTTTTACTAGATAAAACAGTAAAAGGTAAACACAAAAAAAAATGGTCTGGATATGGTGAAGCAGTTCCCCCTGCCCCCAAGGGAAACACTACCCATCAGGGCACATTAGTTGGTCATCTACTATTTGACAAATCCAAGCATTGCTGTAGCTATACTGGGTACCTATACATTGAACATAAGCTACCTGCACCAGCATTACATGGTTTTATACTCCAAAGCAACACATCACTATTTTTCATTGTACAAACACAGACTGCAAGTTGCTTGAGATTAACGTTTCAACTCAGCCTTGGTTCCTAACAAAAACACTGAAGCCCATCTTCAGGTACATCTCAATACGGACATTTTCATGGCTAACCTATATACTAGGGTTTAGCCACCAGTTTCTGGAATAAAACATTTGACCAAGTGCCAATCGATATCTTGTTACCAACCCACACTGATGTTATCAGGAGAACAAACTCCAGACGTGGACTACATCTTCCTCTGGCAAGAATTCTACTGAAATCAAACTAAAAAACTAGTAAGGACATTAGGATTTGATTAGCAAAGTGAATAAGTCATTTGTTGCATAAGGACAGTTTATCCACGTAAACGTTGTTAACGCCACACTGTTATTAACTAGTCTCCGGATACACTGCACATAGAATGCCACTTTGGGAAGCCTCACTAACCTGCCTTCCTTTTACTACTACTTACAATTAAAGACTTTATATATGTATTAAAAATCACAATATGACTCACCCTTAAATTGTTTGAGCTACAACATTTTTTAATTGTGTTTTGAAGAACACCAACCAGTTGGCAGAGTAGTACCCCATTATCAAGTTCTTCTAGCAGTTGTTCTGCTTTGACTTCTGTTCCTAAAAAAAAAAAAAACCCACACCCCCCCCCAAAAGGTCAATATTAGAGTTACTCCACAGAAGGTAAAGAAGTTTCATACGAACTTAGAGGCAACTCAAACAGCATTCCATCCATCATATAATTTACTACAGTGTTAAAGACTGATAATTAGTAGAAATACAAGTAAACTAAAATCAAATATCCACTTAATTAGATTTTAATTAGACTAACAAAATTCAGAAATATAAATTGGAACAATTAATCATCCTACCTCTAAGAGGTGGCAGCTAATAAAATCCAAAACCGAAGCATGCATATTAATGCAATTCTCCTAGCTATTCAGGCTCAAATACACCAGATCTTAACAGTACTATAGATATTAAGTGTCAGCATTGACTGGAATATTGGAAAGTGCTTTGAAATTTATTAGACAGTGATTTATTTTTAACCTCACCCAGCAAGCCAGAGAGCCAGATTGACAGATCTTCTTGCATAGGCACCAAAGTTGCTTCATGCCGCACAGATATCCATTGGTCATACAGGCACACATCTGCCAAACCTGGCCCATGTCTGGGAGTCAGAGGACTTCGGGGACTTAAGGGAAGGTCATCTCCAAACCACACCTGCAGAAGATTTCAGTAAGCTGAAGACAGCAAGCTCTAATATTTGCAGTCAGATGATGAAAACTTGCAGTTCTGAATTATGCTAAAGATCTATTATTCAAAGAGTAAATGTTCATTTCCCTTCAGACAGATACACCAAACAGTGTTACACAAACAGTATTACACAACAGTAATCCGCATGGTGCAGCTCTCATTAGTAACTCCTGTATCAAAAGTACTACTACATTCTTTGGATTTAAAATTACATACTTTCCTGAATATTAAATAAAGAAAACATGCATTAAATTTGTGGGGCTTTTTTTCTCTTCAGCACATTTTAAGTAATGAAATTTGCAGTTTATCATATAATTTACTACAGACTACTGATTTCTCTGAAGAAACATTTCAGAGGCATCAGAGGCATTTTGTGTTTAAATCATTAAAGTGATGATGTTAAAAGAGGAAACATATTCCCATACAAGAACATAACACACTTCTTGAACATGAATCCTTAGCGCTTCTCTTAAGGATTGCATATTTGCAAACTGAGAGGTACCTTTACATTTCAAGAAAAGGACCACACTGAAATTTCATGTACAAAATTCCCAAAGACAAAGAGTCCTTCTGGTATTCTTAACTACTTTCCTTCAGTTCAGTGTGTGTATAAAATATATTTATTTATTTATACTTACGTGATTAACTAGAATATAGGGTTTCTAAAAACACCTCTTTATTTAAAAACTTGCTTGATGATTATCTCAGCCTTTGACTTCAAAACCTTCTTAGGTAACAGCACTTAGGAAGAGAAAGGATCACCTATCTGATATAACACTGGGTTATCTATCTTGTCACATTGCTCCATTTGTAAAATGAGAAAATTATTACTTTTTTTTTTTAAACTAGAGATAACTCTGGGGATTCTAGCATTTCATCTGCTTCAGGATAGAGCTTTGAATAAAAAAAAGTATTATACAGAATTCAAACATCACAAAAGGCATTTACCTGAACTGCATTCTGCATGGTCATCTGCATTTACATTAGTTTCTCCCCCTGGGGAAAGAGAAGAGGATTTTTAATACAGTCCCTCCTGCTTTCATGAAAATCCCAAGAAAAACTCACCAGTGCTGTTTCGGCAAAATACTAGCAAGTCTAATCAGGAATGGAAGGAGGAAAGAGGGAAGTATCTGAGCAGCTAAGGTTTTGATCCAGTATTCAGTCAACTCCAGTTCTCTGCCCTTAAACAAAGCAGCAGTTATTACAGCACAAAGTAGCAACTAACTTCATATGCTTAAATAACACTCAAAGGTTTGCATGATTTTAAGGAGCTGTAAGGCATTTACTTTGCCAAAGAGAAGTATTAATACTTCGAGCCATTCTTGGATTTAACAATGTTGGCATTCACTTCTTCCTTCTCAGCTATCACAAGTGTATCTTGTACATGCGTGCATACACATATAAGCATCCTAAGTTTACCTTGAATACTTGGAAGATTATGAAAATCTTAAAGCAAGAAAATAATTTTGAAGAATGAGATTTCTTCTTGCATAGATACATGAGAGAAATCAATGTTTTTATTAATTTCTATTGGGATTTTGACTTAGATTTCCAGGCAGCTAGCACATGCCCAAGTTTTCAACAGAATGCTGCAAACTATAACAGCAATACGGTTATCAGGACAACCCCCTGACAAAACTTGAGGAAAGTTTTAAAGGTAATGTGGTCAACGCCTTCTCTCCTGAAGCCAACACAGTATTTTCCAGCAATGCTTTCAGTCATGGGAAAACCCAGCACAAACTCGACACTGGGCTGGGGATCAGTAAGTCTCTCTACATAGGCTCCAGGTCTAGAGATGCGCAGTGTTACCACGTTAGCTGCATACACACGCACCAGAAGGAATTTCCTCAGCATCATTGTCCACAGTGGTAGCGGTGGGCATTACAACCTCAAAATGTACCTATCTGTGTCTTGAAACCAGTTAAAAACAACTTACTTGCTCCATTACTTAATAGCTGCAATAAAACTTCATCTTACTGATCAGGCTGGAAACCAGACTGCAGACAGAGACAATTTTAACTCATCTGTTTTCCTTTAAAAATGAATAACTCCCCTCTCCTGTCCCAGATGTTTAAGTTTTATACATAGACAGTATTCTTCTCCCCCATCTGTTGCACAACCTCACCTTCCTACGGCAAAAGGCCAAACAGCCCATTACAGAAGACCCAATTCTCATAAAAATTCTCCCCCTTCCTCTTACCCAGAAAGCAGAATGGTGCCATTTCCTCCCCATTTTTCCCTCCCACTGCCTTGAACCTCACATGCTATATAGGACCACACGTCAGGCATTTCAAACAACTTACCTCTATGACCAGCAAACGAGCAACCAGTTTGTTTTCAGACTGAAGCCACTTCCTTGTATCAGGACTGTTAGCACTTCTCAAACCTCATTAGAGACACTTCAAGTGATATCCTTCCCCCTCCTTTTATTTGTAGGGGGGGGAAAAAAAAAAAAGAAAAAAAAAAGACATCCTCTCCTTGATACCATTTTTCTTTCTATGAATGAACAAGGGAAGGGCAGTGTATATACCAAGCATTACTAATGAGCATGTTATGCTTCCCACAGCTTTGTCCAGGGGAATACATTTTCCTTTAGCATAAGAAAGCTATTGTCCCAAGAGAGTCGCAGTAAGAGGCTTCATTGATCAAAAAAAATAAATAAAACAACAGCAGAACAGCCAGTAGAGGGGTTGGTCTCATTAAAATAAGGAGCTCCATATAGGCTAACAAGAGCTCTAGCATACTGCCTGCCAAGGGAAAACAAAAGGCAGCCTAATTCACAGGGAGCACTCAGAACACGAACAAAGCAAAATATTCACACAGCAGCTATCACAAGAATGCTCAGCATCTGCAGTTTTGTGGCATGCCTAACAAAAACTAGTCATAAGAAAAAGGAAAAATAAAAAAAAAAAAAGAGGAGATTGAGGAAAATTGTGGCACTTGAACTTCAAGGGCCTGCTCTTCTAAAACAAGTTATTTTGTAAGCCCATATGCTAAAGGGCTCTCTAGAAAGTCAAACAGCTTCACTTATTATCAAAGCATCTGAAAACAAAAACCCTCTGATGATACAGACTACCCTGCATGAATTTTGAGTTGAAAAATTAATATATTAAAATTAATATAATATAAACAATTACCCATTTTCAGATCCCAAACAGTCCAGCTCTGAGATCGCAGAGAATACAGATTAACGTAGACTTATCACTTACAAGGAGAGGCATGGGATGAGAAGACCCAGAAGTCTGTCACGTTCAAGTAGCCAGCCTGCAAAGGTGCCGTGGTGAGGCAAATACTGCAGTACCAGGTAGAGTCATAACCAAATCCGACTCCTTCTAAAACCAGTTGGGTTCTCTGCATCAAAAAGTTGTACATAATGAATGAATCAAGTATTTGGTATTCAATTCAGTCAGCTCCAAGCTAGAACTGCATCAGTTTCTATGCATATCAGTTTTTTCAACTCACCTTCATTCAACAGGCATTTGGTTCTCAGGGCTCACAGCTGTGAAAGAAAAGACCCCAGAATGAAAATGTACTGTATCACGTCCCACGTATAGCCTCAGGCCATGCCATTCCCATCTCCAGGCCAGCTGATATCCCCAGGGTACCTAGGAGGGCTCTCTACCTGCTTCACCCTTAAAACAGGGGAAGCAGGAGAAACTTGTAAGCGCTTCCCAACCAGGGACGCAACCAGCCCAGCTCCAAGCTCAACAAATATAGAGGTCCCTGACCCTCAGCACCACTCCCAGAAAACACCTCATTTCTGCTGGTGCTTCTGCTGCCAACAGGCTCCGTGAGATGGGAGGAGAAGAGAAAGGCTGCTTAGTAGCACCTTATGGCTGGATCAATACAGCGACACTGATTTACTGTGAGACGGGCAGTCAGCCCCAAATGATATAGTGGGGAAGGCAGGAGCTGCCGTCGGCTGGCCGACTGCCAAACCTCCAATAAAGGACTAGAGCTATGGATCAACATCAGGAGAGGTGAGAAAAAAAGTACCTATCTTCTGACACGTGGCATAGGGACAGGCATTTCTCAGGAAAGGGGGTGCAGACACACCCTGGACATGACCTGCACAGGACAGCCTTGCAAGACTGTAGTCTGCTTCTGCTCTCCAGAGATGCCCACCACTTTGCCCCTAGGCAATCTGAGAAACAGTAAAGTCAGCAAATACTAAAGCACTTTACGCAAATACTTTAGGGTGCTAAACACATGCTCTTAGATGCTACACAAGATACAACTGATACTAAGCAGGCTATCAGGTTATATAGATCATTCACCGGGGCCCAACCAGCAAGACACGTTACACTAATTACAAGCCATTCTGTAGCACAAGATGAACCAAGTCCAAGTCCCATTTTACTTGACTGCACAGTTTACGAAGAAACAAAAAAAAATAATCCACAACTCCACAGATACCTAAAACATAGACGAAGCAGCCATTGACCTAGCTTAAGTGGAACCTAAAGGGATTCACAGACTCATTAAAAAACAACCCTTCAGTAGAAACACTTTTACATCTTCCCCCTATATTTAAGATATATCACACATCATCTTCTATTCCATCAAAACCCAAAGGCAGTCACAACAGACTACCCAGAGCAGCTGGAAACTGTAGATTAGTCTTGACAGTACCTACTGAAACCCACGTTTTTAAACACTCTGAAACCAAAGAAGCTGTCAAGTCAGTATCTGTTGAAACCTCCTACAGGATAGTCAAGATTTTTTTTTGGTACACGTAACCTAACATGCAGAAGCAAAGAGGTAGGCACAACAAGAGACATCCATGGAGCGCTACTCTCTCCGTCACTACAGCAATTACAGAGCCCTTTTGTTGCATTACTGAGTCAGCAGGAGCTCTGCTTCCCTGGGGAGGCCTCAGAGGCACAAAAGAGAAAGAACCAGACTAGTCGGTCCAAGGTGAAGGGCTTTAAGGTGGCAACCAACTCCTTACATTAAGGCACGCTGACTGCTCTACTCAGGGACTGCCTCTCCGCACCTTTTGGTGACAGCGCACACAGCACGCGGCAGTGAGCCTGCTCTCCCCATCCAAAGGGCGGCAGAGGCCCTGGATTCACCTGTCAGGGCAGAGAAACCCACTTGAAATCAGGGAGGAACACTCCCTCTCAACAGCTGGCATCTCCGCAGGAGACGTGCAGACGGCTGCTTTACCACAAGAGCATCCAGTTTGGGGAGAGGCCGGTTAACACAAGACACGCTACCCCTGCCACTTGCTCACGTTCACAAACAAACCCTTCTCTCCCTCCCGTTTCCACCCCACACTTCTTCCAGCAAAGCAACACTGAGGAGAGCACTGCTGCCTGGCCATAGTCAGGAGGCATTTATTATGACTTAAATATAAAATCCTGTCTTATTATGAAAGATCCACCCAGTACATTTAGAATTACAAACACAGGCCAGCTATGCCTTATAGGTCCTAAAGCTATACACGTACTTTTTCCCATGTCTTGATCTGATACCATGCCAAAGGTGACACACAGCATCCCTGGAATACAGCCAGCTTTGGGGCAAAGAAAAGAGCCAGACATTTTTCAGCTTAGTAAGCAATATGAACGAGTATTTTAGCCAAGAGCACTAGGGCAAATTTCCCACAAAAACAGCACCGCATCCTCAAACACTTGCGTGAGGCACAGGAGAGACTGGTTTGAAGGGTGTTATGCAAAAACTCTCCCCTCTCCCTTCCCCAGGGTAAGTTTCACGGCACTTCACTTCCAACATCGATGGCAGTGAGGCTACCTCGGCCGGGTGGGAGCTGCTGCCTCTGGAAGGGTGACCGAGCCTATCCCGGTAACAGGCTTAGCCCAATACCGGGCTCCGTCCCCGCTGCACGGGGCTCCCCGTGACGTGCGATGCTCAACGTTTTCAGCGCTGCCCCTATAGCTAGGCGTAACTGACCGAGCGCCACCGCTACGGAGCTGCGCGCCCGATAC